AAAAAAAAAAAAGAAAAAGAGAAACATGATTCTTACTAGAAGACATTTAAGTGATACAAAATGTGGAGAAAATTACATATAAAAATGGAAAACAGATGTCATACACACATAAATATATAATATTAGGTAAGTTTCATAGGCAAATTTCACAGAACATAGAAACAAAAGAAACACTTAGCATTTATGATAAATTATGAAGCCGACTTATACCGCACAACTGCGTGATAAAGAGTAATCATGAAAAGGGTTGGTCGTCAATACGCCCGTATCACCACCGGCGACACCACCTGCTGCTTCCCGTCCGACCAAACAATCTTCCCCTCCACAGTCTCTTTCGGCAACGAAGTTGCCGTTATTGTCACGGCGTAACTTTGTTTTTCCCCCTTGCCGGCCGTGAAATCCATTTTCATGGGATTTACGGTCAGAGTTACCCCTTTCGGATTGGTCACCGTCACGCTGTAACTAGCATCGCCGTCACCAACACGTGTCACTGTCCTTTTAACCGTGATATCACGATTCATGTAATCAAGTGTCTCTAAATCAATAGAGATGGCCGGATAATTCAGATCCCATGCATTAATTCTGCTACAATCCTCCGTCGCGTAACTTTCATTAGTTATAAGGCGGATCTGATCGACCGTATAATTTGAAGCGCACAGGAATGCCGCGTAATCGTTCGGGGTTATATCGTAGACTAATCCTGGATCACGAGCTTTCTCCGGGTCAATGTGGCCGGAGCCCATATCAGAAGCCTTAGACTCTGTTCCATCATTCTCATTGATTATGGGCTCGCCATTGTTAGCTTGTGTGTAAGCCGTGGTCATGATGGCGGATCTAATCATTGCTGGGGACCAGTCTTTGTGGGCCCCCTTCAATAGAGCAGCCAATCCTGAAACGTGCGGGCATGCCATTGACGTGCCCGAGGTCACATTGAATTTGCCGTGGATCCACGCCCCAAGGATGTTGACACCTGGCGCGACCACATCGGGCTTCAAGACGTACGATGACTTTGAGTTAGGGCCTCTGGATGAGAAATAAGCTACCGCCGGAGCTGGCTCGATCCCCGGCCCAATCCCAAAATCCGTGCCACGGAATATTATCGTGGCATTTGTGTTTGTGTTTTGTTTGCGTATGAGGTCACGGATCGTGTTTCCGTCGGACTCGGTTATGGTGAGACCGGGGATGGAAAAGGGTTTCGCAATGCGACCTTTTCCGGCCAGTTTTAAGTTGGCAACCACCACACCGGAACCATGGAGAATATTCCTCACAACATCTTCTTGAGCTATGGCACTCGTGCCTTTCACTGCATCGCAAACCACAATCTTCCCAGAAAAGCTCTCGTCCGGTAACCCCTCTTCACTGCAACTCCCTCCATACGCTAGGGGCAGAAAAGTAGGGTACAGAGGAGGCCCACCGTAAAGCGATGCACCGTACATCACGGGTCCGTATTCCGGTACGAGATCCGCTAAGAAACCTCGGTCGATCGTGCCGGCAGCAACGGTCGTCATCCACGGGGCAACATTGCTCACCCTGTATAGAAAAGGGCCGCTATTCCCGGCGGATGAAATGACCGAAACGCCCTTCTCCATCGCGCCAAAAGCCGCGATCGCGATCGGGTCTTCATCATACGGCACCGCTCCTTCGCCTCCAAGTGAGATGGAAATTATATCGACCCCATCCTCCACGGCCTTGTCGAAACCGGCGAGAACGTCGGACCCGGCACAACCATCATCACCGCAGACTTTGTACACGGCGATTCTTGCCTTTGGCGCAACTCCGATTGCCGTGCCGTTTGCGTATCCAGAAAAAGACGAGCCCTCGACGGCCCTTCCGGCGGCAATGGATGCCGTGTGAGTGCCGTGGCCGAAGTTATCCCATGGGGAACGATCGACTCTACCGCCTTTCCAAGCTTCGTATCCGTCCAGAAAAAACCTAGCGCCTATGATTTTGTTGTTGCACATATCAGCTTCCACGCACTCGCCTTTCCATGTGCCGGCAGGTAGGGGATCGAGGCCTTTGTCGTCGAAGCTAGGGTGTTCGGGCCAGATACCGCTGTCGAGGAATCCGATAATGACATTCGAGCCGGAATTGGATTCAACCAGCAAAGGCCGTGCCACTGTATTATTAGTATCCTCGTATAAGCCAAGGAAATAAGGCGAACGGGTCGTGTGTAACTTGAGAAGTCGGTCGGGGAAAACCGCAACGACCTCCGGAAGCTTCTCGAGCTGTTGGGATTGTTGTGAGGTCAGGCTGGCCGAGAATCCATGGAAAACTGTTTTGTAAACATGAAGTAATCTCGAGTAGTTGTTTTGGGATTTTGAAGGATTGGAGTCGAGGCTATGAAGGGTAGCCTCGTACCAATGTTCCAACTCCTTAAAAGCTGATGGTCTCATGTCAGTTTGGACTCTAACGATGTATGTGCTAACAATATTTTCATCGTCATGAGGATAAACAAAAAGTGGGAGCGAGAGAGAAAGAAAGAAAACAACAACATGCCAAAGATGTCCCATTTCTTTTATTTTGTTTGTTTTTTCAAAGAGGCTAAGAAACTTAATTTAGAGGAATTAATAATGTGGTGGTGGTGTGTAGGTTTACTTCTTAGCTTCGGTTTATATAGTGAGAGTATGCACAAAAGTTAATGTAAAAAAAATAAAATAAAATAAAAGAGCCAAAAAAAAGGAAGAAGTTGAAAGGAGAGCCATTTTATTTTAAATTAAAATTTAATACTCCATCTGTTTCAAATTGCTAGATACACAGCAAAATAGATAAATCAAAAAAGTCAAAGACGTACAAGTTGAAATGGAGGGAGTAATTCATAGTTTGGCTTTGGAATGAGAATTGTGACAAAAAATCATTGAAATCAATATGCAGCAATGGAGTTTGTAATCCTCAATGATTTTGTCTGTTGAATTTAAATAAAACTCCATGATGTCATCTATTTTCTAGAATTGTGACATCATTGAGCATGGAGTTTGTAATCCTCAATGATTTTGTCTATTGAATTTTAATAAAACTCCATGAATTTTAATACTCTATTTTATTAAGTGGAAATGTAAATAAAAAGAATTAAAAGTGATGACATTTGTCTAGTTGATTCTAGTTATTGGCTTTTTTATGATTATTATTAGTTCTTGTATTTTTTTTTTTATTTTTTTTTTCGTTGATATTTCTTTTTTTCCCATACGTCTTTTACCATATAATTCAGATTCTACCGTATGGATTATGTGAAGGTATTTTTTACATTTTTACTACTTTTTTTATTTTTATTATATTTTTTTTAGAATCCCCCTCTATATATAATTACAGAATGCGCTGAACTTAAGTGACAATCTTTCGGAATCCTACTTGGCAAAAAAACATGCTTCGTAGTTTGGTTTGAATAAAAATAATATTATTTTAAATAATAATTTCAAGTTCGGACATTCCAAAAATATTGAAAAACTAACTTAGTAATTCCATAATAATTTGACTAATATAACCTATGTTGTATGGAAACTTTTGGTAATCACATTGATTGACTAATATAACCTTATTTATTTTGGAAACTCTCAATCAACTCATTAATTTTCATGAAAATCTCAAATTAGCCTTATAAATACATAATTAAATTTTAAACAATTACTGTTATTATTATTTAATTTAAAATAATTTTCTTAACAATTACCCGTGTAGTACACGGGTATTGTACTAGTACGACATTAAAAATAAATCTTACACAAATTTCATAATGCAATTTAAAAGTCAATTAAAAAGATAAACCACAACTTCATTTAAAAATATTAAAATTTGGTATATTTGTAATTAATTTTTTTTATATAAATGTGAATATAAAAAGAAATTTTTAGGTGAACTTTTCTGAAGGCGCTCTTCAGCCCAAAATTTGAGCTTTGTGGGAAGTCAGTAGCCTATCATTAGGCCCAAGACAGCAGTAGTCCCATAAGCTTTGAGCTTCTCTTATACAAATTTACAATTGACAGGTGCTCTAGCAACCACATTAGAGTAATTGTACCACGAGCATAATAAAACCTTACTGTCTGCTGCAAATTTTATTTTCCAAGCAGCAGTTGCAACAATGAGCAGGCTTTCCCATACGGAACCAAGAGTAGCCACAAATATTATTCGCAGTGAAAAACTCAAATCACAGCAGAGAAAACCTCAAGAATAATCGTCCCCCAAAATTGAAAGGGACCGTCTAAATTTCGAAATGTTTCTTCTAAAGATATTAGTCTGACGGGCCAATCATCTTTTCTGGCACAACAAGCTGATCGAATTCTTCGGAATTGAGCACGCCTAGTTTTAAGGCAGCATTCTGCAAGGAGTGACGTGAAATTTCATAAAAATATGATACCCTGGAAACTATTTTCTTTGAAATGATACTTTTTATGCGCAAAACAGATCAGTTTTAGTTCACGACAGAAATTACTAATAAAGTAAAAAATACGTTTCGTTTATAGATTATTGCAATCACGAAAGACTATAAATTCTTCTCAGCATGAGTACACATACCTTCAAGGTACTTCCTTCCTTGTGAGCTGTCTTGGCAACTAATGCAGCGTTATCATATCCGATTTTCTAGAGTTTGATTAGTTACAATCAGCATAATTTGGCAGTAAATCAAAATACGCAATGGAGAAAAAATAAGTAAATAAATACATAAACTGCAACTTACCGGATTTAAAGATGTAACAAGCATGAGAGACTGCGATGCATGAAAAAGAACAATTATATAAGCTATCGGCCAAATAAAAAGTTTCAACCACATTTCCACATCATGGACAAAGTAGACTGACCTCATGCAACAATTTAGCAATTCTTTCCCTGTTGGCTTGAATTCCCCTGACACAATTCTTTTCAAATGAAGCAGACGCATCACCTAGCAGTCTCAATGACTAACAAACAAAAGAAGACGATGTTTAAGAAAATGGTTTTCAAAATTGTCCAACTTTTAATGAAGGAATGGAGAAAGTCAACAGGTGCCCTTGCTCAATCCTTATTCGATCTGAATAATTAGGAGGTGAGGCATAAGTTTCAGAAGGAAAAAAGAAAGAAAAGAAAAAAAATCAATATAAAAAAAGGAATCACAATGTAGACAATAACTGTATAGGTAAAAACAGCAATCAAAGTCCAAAGGATGATAATAAACATGGAACTTACTTGTAGCAGATTACTGGCAATAACAGGCTTAAACACATTCAGCTCAAAATGGCCATTTGAGCCCCCCACTGTAATAGCCACATGATTGCCCATGACCTAAAAGTAAAAACACGTCGGTTTTACCGTGTTGCATCTGGAGAAAATGACTTCTTTAATCCAAATTTCAGATTATTTTTACCTGAGCACAAACCATTGTGAGAGCCTCACACTGTGTAGGGTTCACCTTTCCCTGAAATTTAAAATTATTCAGGCAAAACACAGTTAATAGCAGCCACAATATAATCAACGAACCATCAAATAATTGGAAAAAAAAAAAAAAAATATATTACCGGCATTATACTGCTTCCAGGTTCGTTTTCAGGAAGTATGAGTTCTCCAAGGCCACATCGTGGACCACTGTAGAAACTAAGATGTAAGAACAATAACTGAATCAAAATACTCAAATATTTAAGAAACTCTGCAATCCCATTTACCTTCCTAAGAAACGTATATCATTTGCTATCTTCATGAGCGAGGCAGCAATTGTGTTTAAGGCACCACTTGTTTCAACAAAAGCATCATGCGCAGCCTATCAAAACAGTGGGTAAAAGAAATTCTCCTTTCCACATTAATTCCTCAAAACAAACAATTCGTACAGATAAAAATTCCTGGCAGTGGAATTTTTTTATAACCAGATGCCAGTTTCATGATGTAAATATGCATGAGATACAGTGGATATCAAGTCGTGGAATCAACAAGAAACTACTTCGCCTGGCCAGTTTCAGAAAGGGAGTTTTACCAGTGCTTCAAATTTGTTTTCAGCTGTCACAAATGGCAAATTAGTTTCCTCAGCTACTGCTGCAGCAATCTTTGCATCAAACCTGAGAACATAAAGTCGATTTGTAAAGATTGTAACTCAGATTTATGAAAATGCTAAAGGTTCATTGAACCAAGCAACAATATGTAGTTATATACATCTTACCCTTTCTTCGTGTTCAAACCAGTTCCCACAGCAGTCCCCCCCTGTGCCAGCTGAAAATATACTCCAAATTCTTAGGACCATTGGGAGAATCAAATAATTTCGTGGAAAAAACATAATAAAAAATAAAAAGAGATTATTAAAGTTAATATAACCTGATACATGCGAGGGAGGGTGCAAGAGACTCGATCTATACCGTACTTCACCTACAATCACAAGCACAATCTTTATGTAGAAACGCAATATTTTTCTGCCTTCCATATTCAACTGAAAAAGATTCACTCTCAAAAGGTGCTGGATGAAAAACCTACCTGGGTGGTATACCCACTAAATTCTTGTCCAAGTGTCAGGGGTGTGGCATCTTGTGTGTGAGTGCGGCCAATTTTTACGATGTCATTGAATTCGATAGACTGAAAGACATAACAAAGTGGACTTACTACAGCGGCAATGAAAAGTAAGCAGAACATGTGTTCGATAAACGGCAAACCGATTATAAAATGCCTAATGATCTAATGGCCATCAGATAAAAAGGAGCAGGAGACGCGTTGTAGAAAGAAAAGGTGAGAAAATAGTTTAAATAAGCCAAGAAAAAACCTTTGAATTAAGTGTTGTGTGCAACTGTTTCAGTTTTGGTATTAATCTTGAACTGACTTCCATTGCAGCTGCTATGTGCATTACCTGTGCATAAAGACAAACCATAACCACTAGACTTCAGGTAAAATCAGAGTAAAATGCAACTAAATATACTCTTCCTGAATCTCAAAGACGCTTACTGTTGGAAATGTGTCGTTCGAAGATTGCGATCTGTTCACATGGTCATTTGGATGGACAATTTTTTCACCACGCCCGTGCCCAAGAATTTCAGCTGCTCTATTGGCAATAACCTGTCATTACAAGATGAGAAAATATAATTGAATCAAAAGAAAAGTGAACATCAAATACTGCATCGTGAAGCAAAACAGAATGATAATACTTTGATAGCCAGATGTACCTCATTGGCATTCATGTTACTCTGAGTACCACTGCCAGTTTGCCAAACAACCAAGGGGAAGTGATCGTTTAATTTTCCCTCAGCGACTTCCTGTGCAGCTTGCATTATTGCTTTGCCTATGGAGGGATCGAGGCCATATTCCATGTTTATCTGCAAAGAAATATGTAAGTCAAAATTTCAAGTTAATTAAGCCCTTTCAGATGGGGTTATCGTAGGGTGTGGTGATGGAAGACGAATGGAAAGATAGCAGATTCTTCATATAAGATACTAAATAAGTGAAGCCACAATGCAACTTTACAAAGGAAAATTCTTCTTATCATGAGTATTTGACCTTTGCAGCACATTTCTTAAGAATCCCAAAGGCGCGGATAATTGGTTCGGGCATCCTTTCCCGGTCTCCTCCAATTTCAAAGTTCTGCAAGGATCTTTGAGTTTGAGCGCCCCATAATCTGTGCATTCCAAATAATAACATAAAAAGGTCGATACGGCCGGTCCTTCAATAATACGGATGCCCAAAAAAACCTTGTTTGTAACGTCTATGCTATACACTTGGGCCTATTACAAATTTTTCTGAAATGACTAGCAAATTGGACAACCTATGATAAGCACATTCGACAGCCAGTCTTCATGAAAACAGGAGATATGTTCTAGTTCTGGAATAAACAGAAATGATCAAAATTGGAGCAGTAAACGAATGTTTTGAGGACAACAATACATGAAATAACTTGTAAGATTAGTGATTAGACAAATAAGACATATAAAAAGTTACATAAATAAGGTAAATCTACACGAAAAAATTGCAGCATTTTGCTGAAAACACATCTGACTCGGTTTTTTATCATGATTTTGCAGCACAAATCTTCAACAGGACGCATTAACCATTATCCTGGTTACTAGTTAACAGCTCACAAGTCTGTATATTACAGTCTAATCCATCTATACGACAAGTCTGTTTATCGGCTAACAGAAGGAAGTCAACACCAAATCAAATCAAATTACACAAAATACATACACGATTGATTTGCACTGAGGAATAAAGATATAAACAAATAAAACAAAGTATTTGGTAACTGATACCATCACTGAGGACGAAAAATGGTGCTCCATAAGAGAATTAACGTAAATATAAAGTACGAACTTATCAGATGGAACTTGAATGGGGCCAAAGGTATCTCTTTCTTCTCTAAAGGACGTGGAGTACCACCGGAAGCTCGCCGACAGGGACGCCGCCGCCTGAGGACGACTAGTTAGACGCCGGCAAATTACTAACATCGCCATTGCCGGAATCAGTTGAGTCTAACAGGTGATCGGTGAATAAATGATCGATTTGAGTACGAAGCCTGTAACAAATTTTTTTCGCCGGTCAGAGCTCAGAACAAAATGGAGGAGAATTTTCCGTCAGCTGAAACTCTTCGGCACGCATTTCTATGCGCCTCTTTCGGCCCATTGAAACGAATAGCAGCCCATTTCATAGTGAAACTAGGCCATTGGCCCATGTCTATTAGTTTATACATGTGCCACTTTCGGCCCGTGAGGCTTAGGCCCATTTCATGTACACCATGGACCATGCTTTTGAAAAAAGCATGTAATGTATAAACAAAATGAAACTACATGTATTTGACTGTTAGTTCTCAACTTATTTCAGCACTTATCATCAAGTTCATATATTTACAAAAAAAAAAATTACAAATTCTATACATAAGGCTACTGGTATATAATGGTTAGATTGTTATATTTTTTTCAACTAAAGTATTGACATATGATCGATCGATCAATCAATCAATCCGCCCTAACCGTATACATTTTGTTTTACGTAAAATATGATCAATCAATCCGCCTTAACAAAAATGTTGTGATACCTTAATAATTGTCTTGACTCGAGTAGTTTATAAAGATACTTCATGTTATAATAAAAAAAAATACACATTTTATAAATAAAAAAAAGTATATGAGTCTAATAAATAGGTATTACCTAATAATAAACCTCCGTATTAACTCGTGTCATTTGTTGACATTTAAAACTTTTTTTGCTATAAAAAGTGGGATGAGGAACAGCTGTGAGTGTGTGTATATATATATCTCACGTTCTAACAGTCAATAATTAATTGAAATGCTTTAAATGGTAATAATATAATTGTTGACCAGACAGACTATCAACTGTGTGAAGAGAAGAGGATCGATCGAATAATGTTATGACTGCGGCATATGGTATTTGAAACCCGCCTTTTCTTTTCTTTTTTTTTTACACGAACCTTCCGGTTTCCGGATCTACAAGAAAACCGACTAATCCGAAATTGAGTCGGATAGGACCACAAGGGCAGCAAAGCTCTTCCTGAAGAGTTTTTCAAGGTTAACCAAATTATTAAATTATATATACAAAACAAACAGAAAAATCCACCTCATGCCAACATAATAAATATATAAATCATTTATTCTCTTCCCATAATCTGATATTGTGAATACTTTATAATTACCAATAAAATATCAAACATAAAACTAAAATTAAAATAAATATAAGTATATCATTTTATTCACATAGTATAATGAGCCGTCCATTCACGGCCTCAAATAATACGCTCTATAAAAAACATGCAATTTATTTATGAGTTGGCCAATTTTAAGGTACTCCCATGAGGATGTATCTATACATGTGAGATTCTACGGTCCCGAACCATTCCGTTCAGGTTTGTAACCGTTATATCAACTATCTATAATAGGTTATATGATAATGTAACGGTTACAAATTTCGACGGAATGATTCGCATTTTCCTCTATACATAACCTAAAAATTATTACAGTCATAATTAACACTTCACTTTTACAAAACACATAATAATAATAATAAATAAGCAAGAAAACTTTTAGGAGAAATTATTTGCAGTTCCTCTGGTTGTTGTGTAATTCAGGACAGTAGAATAATTAAAAAGATTCAAATGTGAAAATGAATGGTAGACAACTAAGGGGCCACAAAATGACAGAAAAATACCTAATAGAACTTGGAATATATATAAAAAGTGACCCCTCACCAAAATATTATTCATAGCATTTATTTTTTTTTATACACATATACTTATATTATTATTTTTTTTTTAATTTTTGAAAAAAAAAAGGGGAAAATTCTAAAGAGTAGGCCCATGATTGGGGTGTCTGATCTGGCAAACTGAGTGATGCCAGGCTAGCATTTCCCATACATCATTGAGCCAATGGGGTCCACTTTTCACAAAGGCACATGCTTTCCTCTCCCATGCATATATACCCTTACATCACAAATATAAACAAATTTATTAAATAAAAATGGAAAAAAAATGATTAACAACTAATGATACTAATTAAAAATAATTTTCTTTATTTTGTTATTTTATGTTTAAGGTTGGCCAATCATGTTTTATGACATTACATTATTGTGCTTTTCTCTTTGTTACACAGGAAAAAAAATATGTTGGGGAAGATGCTACCGTCTTGTTACGGAATTATTTCGTCGGAATTTATAACCGTTGGATCATTATGTAATCGTTGGGAATAATTGATCTAACGGTTACAAACTCCAACAGAATAATTTCGTAACAAGATCGTAACAATTTTTCACGTACAAGAAAAATATAAAGGAAAAAAAAAAAGGAAGGGAAGGACAATTCATCAATTATATAGTGTCGGCAAACAAAACAACCCGTTGGGTAGAAAATTAAGAGGAGTGATTAATGGATACTAATTGCTTATTATATCAATTTGAAACCAATTTCCTAATTTTGTCCCATTATTAAAAAAAAAAAAACAAAAAAACAAAAAAAAAACCAATTTTTTTTTTATTTTAATTTATTTTTATTTGGCTTGGGTTTACTTGCAATTTTATTCCATATATATGGTTTTTAATGTGTTAACCGAAGGGGTTCTTTTTCCTTGTTCTGTGCTGTCCCTCTCTCTTACCATCTTTGTAATTTATTTATTTATTTATTTATTTTTATTTTTTTTAATTAATATTGAGTGTCATTCTTGGAGCTAAAAAATTCTTTTCTCCTTAATTGCCACTCATCATCATTCAATCACGCCCATTTTTTTTGGCCATATTCTTTCTCATTCCTTCTGTTTTTTCTCTTCCCAATTTTAGGTTACAGTCAGAGATTCTTACCAAGCTTTTGAATGAGGGTTTGAACAGAAAAAGACATGAAGAGGCTAGTAAGTACGTTTAATTTCTTTGTTTTTGTTCAGTGATTTTGACTCTGTTATGTTATTATTCTCAGTTTCTTGATTCATATATATATATATATATTTGTTAAAAAAATTTAAAAAAAAAAATGATCTTTTTTAGCATTCTTGGATCCCTTTATGAGCTTATGTAATTCCTGCCTGAAAAGAGCAATTCTTGTTCACTGAACTTTGCTGGTTTACTCTTAAAGGTGAAATTTTGTACTCAAAACTGTATATCTATTTATTAGATCTTCTTCACTGCTTCCAGTTCTGCTGCTAGTGATTATTTATGTGTTGTCCTTATCACTAGTGATTCTGGGGTTTGCTGGATCTGAAGTTGTGATCTTTCTTGTTAATTTAGTATGACGATTGTTACTTGTCCGACTTACATGTGTTATATTATAATAATTTTTGAGATCTGGTAGTTGATTCACTTAATATGCTAAGCATGCCCTGTTTTCTAATGTGCTGCTATCTTGATAAAAATTTGATCTTTTTGGTGTTATACTTCAAGAAAACAGTTCAGGTTTTGTCACATTACTGTGTTATGAAGTGAAATTCAAGTTTGCCTCTTTTATTTTGCTTTCCTTAATTGGCCATTTGTCTCAGGTAGTTTTGCTTTTGCTCCTGGTATTGAGCATTGATGCTGAATATGATGAGGTGTGCGAATCTAGTTGGCCGTTGACCCCAAGGCCTCACAGTGTATCGGTCACGGAATTCGGTGCAGTTGGGGACGGAAAAACCTTGAACACGGTCGCGTTTCAAAATGCGATTTTTTACCTCAAGTCGTTCGCCGACAAAGGTGGAGCCCAGCTGTATGTTCCCCCGGGAAAGTGGCTCACGGGATGCATTACGCTCACGAGCCGTCTAACGCTTTTCCTCGAGAAAGACGCCACTATTCTCGGTTCTCAGGTTGGTAACTTTATGCTGTTTCTGGTAATTTTTTATAGTTTATAAGTGATTTTCGAGCTTATAGGTTATAGCTTATGACTTATATAGTTTGTTTGAATACAAGAAGCTTTTACCAAGTACGAGGAACAAATGTGTGCATTCTTTTGTACTTCATAATGAAGTTTGGCTTGTTGTTTCGAGGGGACTCTCGAGGTCTATCGGGATTACATAAAACCGATTTGTAGGGGAGAATTTAACTTTGGATTGGGGGATTTGTAGTTTAGAAAGATGTATTGGTTATTTGTGATTAGGCTCTAAACTGTTTTAGGAATTGGAACCTATTATTCTTAGTCTTTATTCACCGATTGAAAGACTATGCAATCGTTTTTGCACGTGTTCTTTTCAATAAGATGCAGACAATTATACACCAAATACTCACTGCAGATCTTGCATTTTACTACAGAATCTTCTCCTATATTAAGTCACTTTCGTGTTCTATAACTTTTTTCCATTCGAGCAACATGGCTGGTTAAAAGAAATTGCTCCATCACTTGATTATTTTTATTTTTTATAATGACTCATATATATATATATATGTGTGTGTGTATATATATATATATAATATATATTTCTCTTTCAGGATTATAGTCACTGGGATTTAGTGGATCCCTTACCTTCATATGGCCGAGGACTCGAGTTACCTGGTCGAAGATATCGTAGCTTGATCAGCGGACAAGATTTAACTGATGTTGTTATCACAGGTAAACATACTTTAATTTACTTCTTTTTTTTTCTTTTTTTTTTTTGGTTGTCCATTTACTTTAATCTAGAATAATGCGATTTTCTTTCATTTCGTAACAGGAAATAATGGAACTATCGATGGACAAGGTTCAGTTTGGTGGGAACAATTAAATAATCATTCTTTAAATTACAGCCGACCACATCTAGTTGAACTCGTTGGGTCGAATAACATTGTTGTATTAAACTTAACCTTCATAAATGCACCTGCTTGGAACATACACCCCGTTTATTGCAGGTATGTGCTGCACAATTCAATCTCTTTTCTATTCACATTTTGCCTTAGGATATACAGATTTCTAACTTTATTGCCTCACAAACTTTTGGATTGCAGTAAATTTCTCGTTCAGAATATTACAGTTTTTTCTCCGCCCGACTCTCCATACACTAGTGGTGTAGTTCCAGGTCTGTCCGAATTATGATCGATTCATATCATTTTCTTACTATTCAATAGCTTGTGAAATGAGTTTTTGCTAATTTTTCATTGCATTTGCTTAAATATGCTTTGCTTTTATTACTTCAAAATCACATTTGTTTACCAGAAGTGTATATGTTATTTGTTGAAAAGTTTACTCACCCAACGTTTATTATAACCCAAAAAAAGAGTTAAAATTATCCATTTTTTTCAAGACGGTTTCGTTTTTTAGAAAGATAGTTCCCTCAATTTTTTGGCAAAAATGCATCTTTAGTCCTGCTAGTTTAAAGTCGTAGCAATTTTAATCTCTAGATTCCAATCTCAAGATTCCAACTTTTTGCCTTGGTCCTGTGATTTAATATTAACCGAAAATCTATCGCGTTTAACTAGCATGACTAAAAATGCAATTTTGCCTCGTTTTTTCCAACAATAATCCAAACTCCCGAACCCCAGATTCATCCGAGCACGTTTGCATCGAGAATAGCAACATCACCACCGACCACGATGCAGTTGCCTTGAAGAGCGGTTGGGATGAGTACGGAATTTCGTACGGAAAACCAACTTCTCGAGTCCACATTCGGAAGCTTAATCTCCGCTCCTTTTCCGGCTCGGGAATTGCCCTTGGAAATGAGATGTCCGGTGGCATCTCGAGCATCCTAATCGAGCACCTCCACGTGCTCGACTCCTCTACCGGAGTCGAGCTCAAGACCACCAAGGGACGAGGAGGCTACATCAGGGGTGTTTTTGTCCGAGACGTTTTCATGAAAAACGTGCGGCAAGGGATTAAGGTGATGGGCCAATGCGGGTCCCACCCAGACGATAGCTTCGACCCTAATGCTTTTCCGGTCGTGACCGAAATCACGTTTAGTGGCTTGTTCGGCGTGAACATTTCGACTTCAGGGGTATTTTCGGGAATAGAGGAAATGCCTTTCACTTCGTTATGCCTCTCGAACGTATCATTCATTGGCGCCTCCTCAGCCGAGAAGTCGTGGGAGTGCTCGGAGGTGGAGGGGTCGTCTTATAATGTGTTTCCCGAGCCGTGTCCCGAGCTGGAAGGCTCGTTTTCCGAGTGTGCCATTTTTTCTCGTGAAGAAAGTCGGGTCGCGGATTCGTGATGAGGAGAAGATAAGTCGAGCAGAGAAAATTCGCGCGCGGTTGATAAATATATAAATATATATGTTATAATCGATTCTGTGTACAGCGTCCAGGTTTGTTCGTTCGTTCGTTCGCCATTCGTGTGTAAGAAAAGTTTTGGTAGCGCAGAACGGTTCATAAGATGGTCGTTGCCTTTCATTGTTCTTCGTTTTTTTTTTTTCGATTATTCGTTTGAGCATTCACATTTTGTACATTCTTGAACTGTGCTGGGGGGAATTTGTGAGATTGATTTGATTTATAGGTGTTGGTGGTGATGATGAAGAAGGAGAAGAAGAAGAAGGGTGGGAGGATATGGGTACTATATTTATATAAGTTTTCAATTTGAAATAAATTTTGAGATTTTTACCTCATTTCATTTGATTTTCAGAATCCTTGCTTAATTTTACCTCTCTGTTGCTCCAAAATTTGTAGCTACTCAAAATGGATAGTTCGTTTTTCACTGTTTTGTTCTTAACTAACTGTAAAAAAAAATTATTGACTGCACTATAATCATTGGTAGATTAACATTTTCACTCAAATTTTATGTTGAGTACGATTTATTCAGACACTATAAATACCAATTATTGAGTGAGACTGTGAGAGACTCTTTGTTGCTTGATGATCTTTGATTGCAATATTAAATTTGCTACCAAACTAGGAATAACGTGCATTGCCATTACTCGCTTTGCCAGACCAATCAAAGGTAATAAATAAATAAAAATAAAGAAAGGCTTGACGAAGAATAACTAGACGTAAGCTTGGAACCTCGGTATAAAAAAAAAAAAAAAAAATGATATTTGGACTTGTTTGTTTTTTGGCCTTTTTTGGCGAGGTGACTATCTTAGCGGTTTTGACCAAGTTAAAAACGCTAAAATTATGTTAAACAATTGTTCGGTTGCATGGCTTTTTCTTTCAAGTTTTTTCATGAAAAGCCAAAATTAAAACGCTAAGCAAAGGAGCGTTTTCAACTGACAATTTGTTATCTTGATGAAATATTTATTTGCCTAATTAATGAGAACATGTGAAAGGTTGTGTTGCTTTGAATGAAATGTACGAAGTTGTCAACATTTCTCACATTATACGTGATTTATTTTATTTAAATAACAACTAAACTCATAAGTTAATTTTTGTATTTTTTTTTCAAACATCAATTTAATATTTAATAGCAACTTATATTTGCTACTTTTAATATTTTAATTAGTTATTACCACAATTTTTAATAGATACAAAAATGTTTATAAGGACTTAATCATTTTAAATTCCTTTTTTGCCTAAAACTAATTATATAAATATCTTATGTATATTACTTTATAATTATTTATGTGAAATATTTTATCAAATTAATAGTGCCAAATATATTTTTTTTAAAATCAATCCGCTAATTTTACCAAACAATATTTTATGAAACCGCTGAAACTAATAGCTGGTCAAAACAGCTAATAGAATCCGTTGGTCAAAACAACTGTCTCAATCCGCTAACAGCTAACAGCTAACAGCGATACTACCAAAACAAGGATTGTTGATTTGTTACAACCAACTGATTTATACTCATCACCTGTTAATTATAAAAGCATGCAAATGGAGTTGTCCCCCCCATGAATGATTTACAGAGCAAGCAAGTGTTCTCAAAGTCTCAACCACCAAAAACAAATAGTATTCAACTAAGTCTATGAGACAAAAATAGTTTGATTTTAATGATACAAATTAACACTATTCATCACAAGCCTAAATAGATGAATCGAAAGTAGGCCCGAAATCGTTATCTTCATTCATGCTGTCATTCGGAAAATGCAGTAAGTGGAGACATGTTAACTAACCATATTATTTGGTACCAAACTTCTGTCTGCAAAGTGTCCTTTTTTTTATGTAGACTGAGAAGCAAGTTGAACCCAAGCAAATTCCTCCTTGTAACTCACAGGGCCTTCACACGAGGCCTCGCATGTGTAGACAGCAATCGTGGCCCAATCGAGAGAATTTTCTTCATCTTGCACATGGAAAAAATACAATAGCTGGGGCAAGACCTGAAATGACAAATACCAACCTTTTGAAGAAGTGTTTACTTTTGATTCCTATTAGGACGAGGCTTATGATTGTTTTTGTGCAATTCAAATATCAAGGTTTTTAGTAGGTGGATTTTATATGTTCACCAAAAATATATATATAATAAAAAAAGAAAATTAATCTTGAGGTTAGCCGAATTATAGTATCCCTCAGAAGAAGACACTTGTTTATTACACCTCAAGCTATAATTTGAAAATATAATCATCTTAGTGCAACTAAGACTATGTTTGGTAAACGCATAAGCTAGTTTATAAGCTTTCTGTATTCAAATAAGTTTGGTTTGGTCGGACGAACTTTTCCAAAAAGCTCTTGAGTAGCTTTTCAAATAAGCCAATTGAAATTTTTATTTGATTTAGCTTATCAGCTACTTTAATCAAACACTTTTATCATATAAGCTAGCTTTTCTGCCATAAGTCATAAGCTATCAGCTATAAGCTCGAAATTTACTTAAAAACTATAAGTTAGCTTATCAGCTAAAATATTAGCCTAAACCTCACCTGAAATTCAAAAACACGATTGCCACCACAATAGTTACACTTGGGAATATCAAATTTTGATGGTCGACCACTTGAAACGGGCCATAATGGCTTCGCCTGAGCAGATCTGGAGTACCTGCTTGCAAAAGAAAATATATTCGAATAGTATTTTTGTAAATATGTTGTCGAATCATTTCAAACATAAGGCTAGTCTTTATTTCTTATAAAGAGCATACTCCATATTATCACCTCACAACTTGGTCAGGGGCCAAAGATATGCTCTCCTGGAAGGAGGCCCAACTTTGGTTGTCACCATGTCCCTATTTTCAACAATTTAAAAAAAAAACAAATTTTATAAATATATTATTGGGCTGGAAAAATCTAGAATGGCGAAGGTTATTGTCAAACTACCCAAATAAGAAACTTACATTAAAATAAGTTTGCAACTGCCCAAGAGAATCATCAGCCCGGCTTCTAGAAATCAATGGACCAACGGATCCATCATCATTAGGCGTCTCGTCTTCTAACTCACACTCCTCCACATTTGTGATCTCGTATTCTGGCCAGAGGGAATTGCTGGCAGCTGTTTGCCAAGTTTTTTTAATCGATATACAACAGAAAATATGTCAGCATCACAAACTGATACATGGCACTCAGGACAAAACTTCCCACAACTCAAATATACGCGTTTCGAATAAAAAAGCCTGCATTTATTTTTACTTTTTTGTTATGAATTCTATTCTCTTATTTAGTTTAAGAATTATTCTATATATATTATTACTCTATACTTTTTTTTTTCATTTTTGGCAATTTGTTGGATTCATTGTTTTTTAGTTTTGTTTCGCCTGATTAGTCAAATCAAAAAAGTGAATCATTCCTTTGTTTTACAAAAAGAACCAATCAAGGAATTTCATTGTATCCCCTCTAAGCATTTGATTTCATCTGAGATTTCATAAGGATAAAAAATAAGGCAAAAACCCATCTTGTAAAACTGCTACCTGATACGGATTCTTCTCCAGATGTCTCCAATTGTCGACAAAGGATTCTGTGGCTAGAGCTAGTGGACCTCCAATGAGCAGCCTATAAGTTGTGATAACTCCATTTATTAAGTGAAAGACAATATATATTTTTTTTTTCAATTTCAATATTTGTTTTTTCAAAAACCTGGTGTTGCGCAGAACAATAACGTGCTCTCTTACAGCTACCACAAATCTTGTCCCCTTTCCATGTACCACACCAGTTACAGAGCAATGCTGAAAGGGATAACAAATGTATTAGACATTTATCGTTTCATAAGTGCAGCTAATACATTAAACACTACACCACACTCATGTACATAACATACACTATCATTTTTTTCTTCTTTTCCAAATAGCACAGGTTAAATTGAAAATGAAACAATCTTTTTTCTGTTCTCACTACCTCCGGCTGACAAGGGTTGCTCACCACCATCTTCCGCAGGTGGCTTACTCGAGTAAAACGAATTCACTAGCGGCAATTGGCACCGAAAAACCTTCACACTTCAATACAATTTGGAGAACAGATCAAATAAACATGTCAATCAGGTAAAAGAACACAGTAACTGCACGACAAAAACGAATTTCAAGACTCATAAATCGATAAAATTATGTACCTTCTGGAGGGAATCTCTGGATGGCGCCTCCATTGTTCATGCTGATCACGTAGAAGACAGGTCATTGATGTACACATGAAAACGAACAATGTCCGGTGAAATGTCGAGTCCTCCTCGGACAAAGGTGCATAAACCTACAATCAAAATAACCAAAGGAAAAAATGTTTCTGAAGAATGCTATTTCAATTCCTAACACCTCTGCATTCGAGAAAAGATCAATCAAATTCAAGTTTCAAAAATTAATCAATTTACTCTCTTGTACCTGGAGCAGAAACTGCAAAGGGTCACCACAGAAATCACAAAGGCTGGACTTCCCTGAAGGCAAATGTATAGGATCCAACCATGCCTATATAATTAGAAAAAAGAATCTATATAATCAAACAGTCATCGAAAAAAAATTATATGCGTTGATAGTATAAATCCCAGTCCCCTTCACTAGATATATTTTAGGGCAATTCTAAAAAACAAGGCATAAATAACACTGAAGTATTGTCTCAAAAATATTCGACAGGAAATTCAACATTAATGCCGGCACAATTACCGGAAAGCCACCAGCTTTGCTCGGGAAATACTGCCGGAGCAATGCCCATGAGTTCTTTGGCTTCTCCGGAAGCCCCAAAGTTACCGGTAATCGATCTTCTTCGTCTTCCTCGTCGCTTACGTCATCTCGAACGCCGTCGTTTTGGGGATCGCCTACATCCACATCATAGTCGATGGATGATATTTGCAGAGATTCGAGGCTCTTGCCATTGGCAACATCATCCATTTCTCTCGAATTTCAGGGTATACTTCAGCTTCAGGTTATCCCGCAAAAATGCTGTAGCTAGGGTTTGGGGTTTTAGGACATTTTTTTTTCCTTTTCCTTTTTATATTCAGTAACAAAATGGCTAATTCGCAGAATTTTTTACTAAAAAATTATAAAAAAGTTAAGTTGCGGAAAAAAAAATACACAAACAAATGAGAGTGGATCATAATAAAAAGCCCGTATTCAATGAATACGTTTTACCATTTTTTTAATTGTAAAACATATTCATTGAATACGTTTTCTCTTGAAAAAAATTCTGAAAAAAACGTATTTAAGGAATACGTTTTCTATACAATTCACAACTCAATTTTGAAATTCACAACTCAATTTGGAAATCTAAGCATGAACTTGCACCACTTTCCAGCATGCGTGATGAATTTAAAATGCATGTAGCTTTTAGTCTAGATATCGTATCATGATGAAACCACTTGAAAAATATCCCTAACTCAGGCCTCTATCACTTTCATGAAGAGCACTCAGGCATATAAAATCATTGAAATGCACATAATACAGCAAACATACAAAACATAGGTGCGGAGGATAAATGAAGACATACTGTAACATCCCGTTTTTCCTTAAATATCAGAGTGCGATTTTTGCAAATTCTTTTCTATAATTATTCTTCTATTTTCCTTACTGTTTTCCCTCAAATAGTATGCTGAAGTTTGGCTTATTTTATGTGTGAAATGCGTGGGGAAAACTCACCCGTTCGGTTATTTAAAGGGAAGACAAGTTACGTCCTTTTCATTTTTGTCCACTCCCTTTTTTTTCTTTTTTTTTGTCCACATGTTTTTTTATTTTTTTTTTATTGGTAAATCACTCCTAATTCGCTATCTATTTACATGTAAGTTTTTATTTATTTATTTATTTATAAATATACTAATTTCAGCATTTTTGAATAGTTAATTTATGATTTGTATTTATTATTAATTTTGAAATTACATTTTTATGTCTCATTTACTAAAGGTATGTTTATAATATTGTTTTAAAATTCGTATTGTTACCAGATTCTTAAAAATATATCAATTAGTCATTTTTAGTAATTTTTCCCCGTCGGTTTTACTTTTCAATATAATTTAACCAATTTATAATTTGCATTAAATAATAAAGAAAAGAAATATTGAAATTAATGGAGGACCACAAGAGTTCTTTATGAATTTTGTACATATAAATCAATGTAATTCTTCACGCTTCAAATCACCTCAAAACAAAAAAAAAAGAGAGCAATCACAAATAATACATGCGGCCTATTTTCACAACAGAGAGTTAAAGAGAAAAAGAATCAGACACTCACCACATTTTACAGAAAGAGAGCAACTGGAATAATTGCTTTGAGAACTCTACATTTGTGAAAAAAATGAAGAAAAAAAAAATGAGGAAAAAAAAAAAAAAAAAAA